TATCTTTCTCAAGTTTTGGAAAGTTTTCTGCTATTATTTCTTTGAATAAGTTTTCTACTCTTTGCTCTTATTCAACTCCCTGTTGAACTCTTAAACTTGGTCTTTTGAGGCAATGTTCTGTATCTCATAGGCAGTCTTCATCCCCTGCCATTCTTTTTTCTTTTATCCCCACTGCCTGAGTATTTTCAAATAGCCTGTCTTTGAGATTACTGATTCTTTCCTCTGCTTGATCCATTCTGTTGTTGAGAGCCTCTAATGGATTATCCAGTTCAGTAATGTATTTCTTGGTTCCAAAATGTGTTTGATTTTTAAAATTGTAATCTCTGTTAAATTTATCTGATAAATTTCTGAATTGCTTTTTCATGTCATCTTGTAGATCACTGAGCTTCCTTAAAACTGCTATTTTGAATTCTTGGTCAGAGAGCTCACATATTGCTGTCTCATTAGAGTCACTCACTGTTTCCTTACTTTGTTTGTTTGGGGAGGTCATGGATTCCTGTTTGTTGATGTTACTTGTGGATGTATGCTTATGTCTTTACATTGAAAGATTAATTATTTATCCCAGTCTTCTCTCTCTGGCTTGTTTTGGCTTTTATTGAATATATTTGCTTAGAGATTCCTTACTGCTAGGTCACTGCCTCCTTTTTCAGTTCTAGGTGGTGCCTTAATCCCAGGTTCTCCTTGGTTGGCCCTAGTAAATGGGAGGTCCCAAAGGGGATATCCCAACGGTGTGAGAAGGCTGGCTGGGGGTTCATGCCTAGGCAATCTACGGAATGTACCTGCTACAGCATGGCGCTGCTGAGCAGCCACTCTGATTTGGCATCTCCTTTGCCTGAGTTACAGAGCAGAGTTTTCAGGGCTGGGGATGGTAGTCCTGCCTCTCCCTTTGTCTCTGCCTGTCCTAAAGAATATTTCTCACTTCAGGTACTCACAATGTTTCCTGTGGATTAAGGGAGCCCAAGATAGTGGGGAAGCTGCTTGTCCACTTAAACCTCACTTTTTCCAGTGTAGAAAACCATGAGTTGAAGGGAAATTTTCTGTGGGCTTGGTGCCAGGCAGAATGGGGGGAGGTGTACCATTAATGTGGAAGTCCAATTTTCTTATTGTCCGCTCAGAGTTTTTTTCAGTTCTCTATGGCCCTGGAACTGTCTCATCCACATATTTTATTTCTAGGATATTGCTGGTGAGGATCTCAGTGTTGTATATTTGTTTCTGGCTTTCTGGGGGGTAGGGAGATGGTTATGGAGGCCAGCTTGCTTCTTCACTATTATTTTGGAACCAGGAGTCCCACATTTAATATGATTATTGATGTGGTTGGGTTTAATTCTGTCATCTGCAGGACTGGAAACTGGAAGTATGCTGAACTTCTTAGATCTAAGAGTATATTATTTTCATAATATTTGGCAACTTTTGGCTATTATTTCTTCAAATATTCTTTGTTCCCACCCCTTCCTTTGGAGATTTTATTTACACATATATTAGGCTACTTGTAGTTTTCCACAACTCACCAACACTCTTTCTGATTTTTAATTTTTTTTCTGTATGTTTCATTTTGGATAATTTCTACTGATCTGACTTCAAGTTCACTAATCATTTCTTTGGCAATATCTTATTTGCCATTAATCCAGTCAAAACTATTTTTACCTCAGATATTATAATCTTCATCTATAAAAATACTAGATGGTTTTTTATTTTTTATTTTTTATTTTTTATTTTTTTGAGACAGAGTCTCACTTTGTTGTCCAGGCTAGAGTGAGTGCCGTGGCGTCAGCCTAGCTCACAGCAACCTCAAACTCCTGGGCTTGAGTGATCCTTCTGCCTCAGCCTCCCGAGTAGCTGGGACTACAGGCATGCGCCACCATGCCCGGCTAATTTTTTTTTTATATATATATCAGTTGGCCAATTAATTTCTTTCTATTTATAGTAGAGACGGGGTCTCGCTCTTGCTCAGGCTGGTTTTGAACTCCTGACCTTGAGCAATCCGCCCGCCTCGGCCTCCCAAGAGCTAGGATTACAGGCGTGAGCCACAGCGCCCGGCCGGTTTTTTATTTTTATATTTTCCTTTTTTATATCTATTTAACTTTTTAACATTCAGAATACAATTATAGTAACTTTCATGTTCTTGGCTGCTGATTCTAATATCTGTGCAAGTTCTGGTTCCTCGTTTTTGTTTGTTTGTTTGACTGGCTGATTTTTCTTTTCATTATGGGTTGTGTTTTCCTAAATCTGACCAAGTCTCTAGTTCTAACAATTAGTTTGTGGGAAAATACAGAAGTAGAGGCACATGTTAAAAAGCAACACAGGGAGGCTGGGCACAGTGACTCATGCCTGTAATCCTAGCGCTCTGGGAGGTCGAGGCGGACAGATCGTTTGAGCTCAGGAGTTCGAGACCAGCCTGAGCAAGAGCGAGACCCCATCTCTACTAAAAATAGAAAGAAATTATCTGGACAACTAAAATATATATAAGAAAAAATTAGCTGGGCATGGTGGTGCATGGCATGCCTGTAGTCCCAGCTACTCGGGAGGCTGAGGCAGAAGAATCACTTGAACCCAGGAGTTTGAGGTTGCTGTGAGCTAGGCTGACATCATGGCACTCTAGCCCAGGCAACAGAGTGAGACTCTGTCAAAAAAAAAAAAAAAAAAACACAGGGAAGCAATCAACAAAATGCAGAATGTAGGAAACTCCACAGGACGAACTATCCATTTCTTCTACATATAAAGTATAAGGAAATAAAATGGTTTAAAAGATTTTAACAAAATACAATTTGAGGACCTTGTTTGGATCCTGACTTGAAGAAATAAACTACATTAATCATATATAAGAAAATCAGGAAAATTTAAACAGTCTAGATGTTAAGAAATTATTAATTTAAACAATTTTAATGATTTTGTGGTTGTTTTTTAAAATAGACTTTATCATTTAGAGATGCATAGTTAAATATTTATGAGTGAAATAATATCTGCATGTGATTTGCTCCAAAATAATCCAGGGAGGGAAAGAGAAGGTGAAGGTACAGCTAGAACATATTGATCATGAGGTGATAATTGTTGAAGCTGAGTAATGGGCGCATAGTAGCTCAGTATGTTATGCTTTTTATGTTTGCAATGTTTGACTTTTTATAATGAAAAATACACAGATGTTCTCTGACAAGACTTACCCCACTCTCTCCTTAGCCGTAGTGGAATTAATTGTTCTTATGACTGTTCCCCTACCATCATAATAAACCCTCATTTACTTCCAAACCTTTCCCCTTTACTTGACCATAAGCCCCTTAAGAGCAAAGATAGTATCTTATTTATTTTATATGCTTTGTATTCCTACTACCTACTGCAGAGCCTGGGTGTTCTATAAATTGTGGTGAATTAGCAACTCTTGAGCCCCAATCCCCCAAGGTGCTCATGATGGAGAGGCTAACTTCATTGTATTGAATCAAATTTCCAGTCAAGTGTTGTGTCTTTTATACATTCAAGTTATAATGTGTATAAATGTATGGCAAAAGAGCCAAAGGAGTCATAATGTAAAAACTCAGGTGATAAAACTCTTAAGACAAACCAGGAATCCTGGTTGGCAGGGTCAGCAGTATTGAAATCATTTTATGGTTCACTGTGTACTTCAGTGTGCATTGCACTGTGACCTTTGCAAAGTCCTGTCCTGCCCCACCTTTTTCACAGGATTGCTCTGTCTTGAATAAAATGTCATATGCCTGTGAAAGGGCTTTTAAAATGGAAAAGCAGTATAAAGTTGAAAGTATAATGGTCTCTTTCTTGCCAAGGCATCAAGGGTTCTCACTGAGCATATCATTTTAGCTATCAGAAAGATTGACCTTGAGTGAAATTCTTCAGTAGGTAAAGCCTGTTTGGGGTTATTTTACATATTTTTTCTCTCCTTGTGCCGTGCGTGTGTATATATATATATATATATATATACATATATGCCATATATATATATGCCATATATATCTGTGCATTAATGTATGCACATACACACATATATACATATGTTCATACACACACATATGGCACCTAGTATGTGCCTGGTGCTGTGATAGGTGCTAATGACACAGTAAGGATAGTCCAGGTGCCCAGGACACAGCCTCAAGTCCTAATCCTTGCCTATTTTTAAGTCTTTATATACCTCCCAATGCCCATCCCTAGATGCTTCTTCCTCATGCTATTCAATCTTCCAATTGATTGACTTATTTATTGTTATTTATATGCTTATATATTTATTGATTTATCTTTTTGATTAAGAATTTTACAAATAACTCTTAATTGGGGGTTCCTAATTCTGGGAAAACTTCCATTTTACAAATGTATTTTTGGAGAGGGCATGTTTATGGGCCAGCGGCCTTTAAGTTCTTGTGGCAGTTGAAAGTAGGACAATTTGGGGGGGCCCTCCCAGCTTGTGCCTCACAGCTATTAATGAGGTTTTGTTTTAAGACAGACCATTTTACATGATGCTCAATTGGGGGAGTGGTTATAAGGGTGCGTCTCAGAATAAACCATTAAACTCTGCATTAGTTTTGTATGCCTTTCTGTATTTGTATTATATTTTTTTACAGCTAAAAGTAAATTTTTGTTCTTTTCAAAATTCACACAACTTTTTGGACTCAGCGAAATGCGACACTGGTGCCGGCCGCTGGGAGCATCGAGTGCCCTGAGAGTGTCAGTGGCGAGAAGGGCAAAATAACTAATGACGATAACAATAAACAACAAAGATAACAATGATGATGACAGTAACTAATAAATCCGAGAAAGAGACTCGCATCCGTCAAATAGCAGTAACCACTAGGAATCGCGTCCCCGCGGGGCCGCCTCCAGGGCACTGCACCAGCCGCAGCTGCAGCGGCTATCGCGGCGCCCCTGGCGGCCCCCTTCCTGCATTGGCCTGCGGGGCGGGGCGGAGCCTGGAGGGCGGGGCCGGGCCGGCCGGGGCGGGGCGTCGAGCCCGCCGCGGAGGGTGGGGAGAGGAGGAGGAGGAGGGGGCCGCGGGCGGCTGGGCGGGGCGCGCTCAGGCCTCCGCTCCTCACCAGCCGCATTCGTAGCCTCAGAGCCCGCGCCGCGGGAAGCCCTGGAGGCGAGTGCGGTGCGCGAGCCGAGGCAGCAGCCGGAGGAGGAGCCGCGGGCGCCGAGGTAGGCGCGGGGACACCCGCCGCGAGGCCCGGAGCCCTGTGCTCCCTCGGCCCGGCCTGAGAGGGTGGCGAGGCCGGGGGGCGGCGCGCGGAGGCCGGGGCGGGCGGGGCCGCGGCCTGGGGGCGGGGACCGGCCTGGCCGGAGGGGCCGCGCGGAGCGGACAGGGCTGTGGAAGTCGGGATTCGAGGCGCTGCGGCCGCCTCTGCACGCCCAGCTCGGTCCCGGGGCGCGGTGGCCCGGGAGGTGTGGAAAACGCCTGCCCTGAGGCGCCCGCGGAGGAGGCAAGGCGGGGGGCGGCCTGGGCCCTCCCACTTTTCGGGGCTCCTAGGCCAGTTCGCCAGCACAGTCCTCGGGAACTTGTTAACGCGAAAGCTTGGCAGAGAAACAAATGCCAACGTTTTGGAAGAACTGAGAGTCACGTCGTTAGGCGCTGAGGCTTCATTTTCCTTCCCCGCCCCCTGCCCAGCCTCGGCCCGACTTGGCCAAAGAAGGATGTGTCACCACCAGCTCTGGGCTGCGGGCGGGATCCCCGGCCCAACTGGGAGCAGGGGTACCTGAAACAAAGGTGAACGGAGGCCGGGCGACCCCGGCCCTGCTCCGCGGCCGCGCTCGAAGTGCCTTGCAGGGTCTCTCTCCCGCGCCGAGCCGGCCGCCGCCTCGGAGGGGCGTTCTCCTGGGGGACCTCTCGATGGAAACCAGCTGGCTGAGCTTGGTTAATGTTGCATCCGAACTGTGTTGTGCTCACATTATTCCCAGTCATCCCATTCTGGTAAAGCTTAAGGAAATTTTATCCAGTCTTAGTGGTCAGCAAATGTAGGGGAAGACAGATTGCTGTTTGTAAATTAGTAGGTATTTTCTTATTAGGAAATGGTCTGAGAACACAAAATAAATTCTTAACACGTAAGCAAAAAAGAGTGATTTGTGATGCCTTCCAAAATCTGAGGAAGTGCTCCTCCTCAAATCTTCGTTTGTGTACAAAACATCCCCACACCTTTGGTGCCAGGCATTTTTCTTTGTTCTTTAGTCTCAGGCCTCAGTTTCTTGTAAACAGAGCACCCAGCGCTGAGACCCTAAGGATTGCCATACTAGGTCAGAAGATGGACATCCAGTTCAGTAAGCTCAGACTTGTGTTGTAGTAAAACAGATTTTTTTCCCTGGGTGATACTGTTAAAAATGTTTCCTTTAATAGTATCCACGACTTTTTCTGAAAGCCTTTTAAAAAAATCTATAAACCACTCCTAATTTACACACTCAGTTTATTCACATTTATTGCATCCAAATGGCTCTTCTGTCATCTCTGGCACAAGAACTTATAGCATGAGATACTTGTGGAAAAAACTTGGATTTTTTCTACAGTCTAGGAGCCTAGAAATAGAGCAAGGAAATAGGTAAAAAGGTTTTAAAAAATAGAAAGCTCTGGAGAAGGCTTACCAGGGCCAACCTGGCTGTTGAGTTAAAAAATAGCTTTATCCACTAACAACTTGAACATTAAGCAGTGAAAGATTTATTTGTACTCATAAGTATTTGCATATTTTAAAATGCAGCTTAACATTCTGGAGATTGAAGGGGCTGAATTAGTCTGGACTTAATAAGTAAGGCCTTTATTTAAAGGATTTGTTCTGTAAAATTTGGATTCAGTCAAAAAGCCACACTTGAGGATCTAGAAGGCCACATGTGGCCCCAAGGCCACAGATTACCAACCCCTACTTGAGCTACTCTGAGAGAATGGAAGTTTTGTTTCAGCAAGAATGGAATAAAGGAGATGAGTAATTTTGGAGTATGAGGTACTTGAGAGGAGACACCTGTTCAAACCATAACTTTGCTTTTAAACTCTTCAGAGACTCCTCATACCTCTGACAAACATAGTCCTCACTGATCTGGCTTCTGTCTCTTTCAACACAACATGGAGCTGAAGCTTTACTTCCTCTCTGAAGCTTCTCTTCACATCCCCCCTGTCTGCCAAAAAGAAAACATTTTTTAAAAATCACCAGCCCTGGGAATATAATTGACTACCTTCTGAGTATTACCATCCTCTAAATCAGGGTTTCTCATCTATGGTACTATTGACATTTTAGATCAGGTAATTCTTTGTTATAGGGTGCTATCCTGTACAGTATAGGATGTTCAGCTGTATTCCTGACCCTGCTTACTAGATACCAGTAGCATGCCACACACGGTTGTGAAAATCAAAAATGCTTTCAGACATTGCCAGATGTCCCCTAGGAGAGCCAAAATTACCCCCAGTTGAGAACCACTGTTGTAAACAGACTGCTTCCTTAACACAAATGATACAGCATTGTCCTCATTTGCTTATACATTTATTATACTAAGCTTGAGGGCAGGAGCAGTCATTTATTTAACAAATATATGAAGCCCTACTTTGCCAGCTGGATGTTAGGTTAGGTCTGGAATATACAACTAAAAGCAAATCTGCACACTTGGACTTTAAAGAGGGTAACAGATGTATACAGGTATAATCATACAATCACCTCATTACAAATGCATTACATTCTGGGAGGAGAAGTGCAGGCTGCTCTGAGTACGTGAAACAAGTTCTCACTTAAGTTTGGAAACTGGGGAAAATTTCCTTGGGGAAGTGACCTTTGAGGTAGATTCAGAAGGATAAGCAGGAGTTACTAGGTGAATCTTAGGGGGTTAATATTCCATGAAGAAGGAGCAGGTTCGTGAAGGCCCTGAGGCAGAAAGGAACAGGACCATTTCTGGGAATCCAGAAATCAGGGTGACAGAAGCAGGGAATATGATGATACAAAATTAAGCTGGAAAAGTAGGCAGAGGCTGTCCACTAACAGTGGTTCTCAATCCAGCCTGCTCACCAAAAATCACTGGAGGAACTTAGAACAACACTGGTGCCTCGGCCTCCAGACCCATTAAATCAGAATATCTTTCATGGATTCCACTCCCTCCCCCAGACACCATTTAATCTATGCCTTCCAAAAGGATAACCACGGATAGGAGTTTTGTATATCGTTGTAGATTTTTTGAGCGTATTCAAGTAAATGCATGTTCTTTCCTCCTGTTACACAAATGGTAGTATTCTCTATACTCTATTCTCTTAACAATGTCTAGGGGGATCTTTCCATTTCAATAAATAGGTTCCTTATTCTTTTGAATGACTGTATAATGTTTCACTGTATGGATTTACCATAGATTGTTTAACCACTCTCCTACTGATGGACATTTAGATTGTTTCCAATAATTTATCATTAACAGTACTATGAATATGCCAGTCCACATGTGTTTGAATATATTTGTAGGATATATTCCTAGAAGTGAAATTGTTTGGTCAAATACACACACACACGTATATTTATGTAGTGTGTATATTTATATATTTGTAAATATTTGTGATGCTAAAAAATCATTCTGGTCATATTGGAAAGAATGGTTTGGAAGGAAACGAGTGAATGTGGGAGGCAACGGACACTAACTAAGGTTACTGTGGATAACTAGGAGAGAAAAGATGGTAGCTGGGACCAACACGGTAGCAGTGGACATGAAGAGATGTATACATGAGATAATATTTAGGAGGCATAATTTATAGGATTTGGTGGTTAATATGGTACGAGAGTTGAGAGGGAGAAGTAAGTTCCAGGATGACTCCCAGGCTTCTAGCTTGCCCAACCAGGTGAATGGTGGAGTTGTTACCTGAATTAGAGAACACTCTTAAGTATAGTTTTGAGGTGAGTTTAAACCAGAGTTTACATTGGGACTGCTGAGGCTTTCAAGTGGAGATGTCACATAAGCATTTGACAGTTCAAATCCAGAGCCCAGAGGAAAGAGCTGAACTGAAGGCACAAATTTTTAAGTGTAAATTGAAGGGTGTGGATGAAATTATCTAGCCCAGAGGTTGCAAACCAGTAGCCCTCAGCTGAATCTGGCCCACAGATGTGTTTTGTTTTGTCCATACAGTGGTTTTATTGTTATTTAATTTTGAATTAGTTGCTAATATTTTAAAATCTAAAGATTTCCCATGAAAATCCATATTTGGAGCTTCTCTTACAAAATGAAAAGATGTAGCACTACTGAGTTGGCTTTCCCATGTGGCAGCAATAATTAAAGCTAAGTCAAAGCTGATCCCAGCTGCTTTCTAGTTCACTACAGAGCCCACCACTCCCTAAACTTAGGCCTGGCCCACTTTGCTCATTTACTTCTCTGACTCTGTAGGCTTTTGAATGTGTGACCCTTGGTCTAGGAAGAGAGTATAGAATGAATTCTCATCATGGTTGCACATCAGAATCACTGAATGATTAAAAAAAATACTAAGGCTGGGGTCTAAAGATTAAGAAAAGAGGACTCAGGTCCAGCATTTCAAAGTTTGGTGCAGGAAGGTAGCCCAGGAAGAGGATAAGAAGTAGCCAGAGAGGTACAGTGGAATGGCACCTTGCGTGAAGTTAAAATATGTAGAATTAACCAAAGTCACCCTACCGTGTTTTTAATTAGATGAGAGCTCTGGTTCGAGTTGGTGAAAAGTAAAAAAAAAAACTAAAAAAAATAAATAAAATCAATTAGATGAGAGAGAGCCAGGTTTTATTTTGCATGTGTACAGGTATGCTGTACTTAATGGGCCATTTAAAGGATCTTCAAGAGTAATTTAAGCTATACTTGATTTTTGCCTTAGATGCTTGCTTTAGAATCTAATTCAAGTTTAAGATGTGTCATAAAAGGCAAAGGAAGAGTGTTTGAAAAAGGAGTTATTGAGTAAAAATGTGAACTGAAAATGATCATTGAATGTGGCAAGATGGATTATTTAACTTCAGAAGAACCATTTTAGATTGGAAGAGGCAGAAACCAGAATGAAGTAGGTAGGAAGAAAATAGAAAGGGTGAATATTGGCAAAATCTTTTGAGAACTTGCCCACAAAAGGGAGTGGTAAAGGAGGAACAGGTGTCTTACATGAATACATGATAGGTGCTCAGTCCGTTGGTTACTGAAACACTTCTGACTTTTCAGGAAGGTAGATCAATGGTACCTGATTACCT